CCGGCACCGGCACCGGCAACCGGCACCGGCACCGGCACCGGCACCGGCACCGGCACCGGCACCGGCACCGGCACCGGCACGGGCACGGGCACGGGCACGGGCACCGGCACCGGCACCGGCACCGGCACCGGCACCGGCACCGGCACCGGCACCGGCACCGGCACCGGCACCGGCACGGGCACCGGCAGCGGCACCGGCGCCTGCGCCGGCGGCATTGGCACCGGCACCGGCACGGGCACCAGCGCCGTCGCCGTCGCCGGCGCCAGCACCGGCACTGCACCCGCAACCGCACCGGCACCAGCCCTGGCACCGGCACCGGCACCGGCACCGGCGCCGGCGCCAGCACTGGCACCGGATGAAAAACATCATTGACATTGAACATCATGACATTTCCCAAACAGTGCTTACACTTAGGGGGCCTTCTCTCTTCTTTCCTAGTATTAGCTGGGTCGTCTGAGGGGCGGTCTGGCGGCTCTCTCCTCCTCGCCGTTGCCGCCCTGTCGCCGCCCGTCGTCGTCTGGGCTTGAGGGGCGGTCTGGTTTTTCCGTCCTTGCCGTCGCCCCCCCTTGCTGCGTCGTCGCCGCCCGTCGTCTTGGCCTGAGTCAGAGCGTGAATTTCCTACCCCGCTTTCGCTTCCAGGCAAAACCAAGCCATACCACGCGCCTCCTCGTCAAGCGGCCTGACCAGTACAGGCTGCACTTTGGCATCGTTTGGTATCTCTTGGAAGCGAGGGTGGTCAAATGCGAGGTAGGTTTGTTTTCCCCCCACTGAGGGTCGGTCTGGCGATTCCTTGCTCGTCGCCGTCACCGTCCCGTCGCCGCCTCCTCATCGCTGCCCTGTGCGCCCCCCCAGCGGTTGCAATCCAATCGGTTGCAAGCCAATCAAGTGCAAACCCAGTGGAATCGATTGCAGTCCAATCAATGGTAAAATTATGCAAACGCAGTTCCCCACATAAAAAATAGTATCCCGGCAAAGCAACCTAACAGCGATGTGTAGGAGCATATCTGGAAGCATTCCCCTTAAGATTCAGATGAGAAGCCAGTTGTAGAATTCTGCTGTTCTCGCAGTCGTAGTCGCATTCGCGATGACAGTCGCAGTGGCAACGGCAGTCGCAGTCACAGCCTCAGCCTCAGCCTGCCTCAGCCTCAGCCTGCCTCAGCCTCAGCCTCAGCCTGCCTCAGCCTCAGCATCAGTCTGCCTTCAGCCTCGGCCTCAGCCTCCGCCTGCCTCAGCCTCACCCTGCATGAGCCTCAGCCTCAGCCTCAGCCTGCCTCAGCATCAGCCTGCCTCAGCCTCAGCCTCAGCCTGCCTCAGCCTCAGCCTCAGCCTGCTTCAGCCTCAGCCTCAGTCTGCCTTCAGCCTCGGCCTCAGCCTCAGCCTGCCTCAGCCTCAGCCTGCATCAGCCTCAGCCTCAGCCTCAGCCTGCCTCAGCCTCAGCCTCAGTCTGCCGTCGGCCTCGGCCTCAGCCTCAGCCTGCCTCAGCCTCAGCCTGCATCAGCCTCAGCCTCAGCCTCAGCCTGCCTCAGCTCAGCCTGCTCAGCCTCAGCCTCAGCCTGCCTCTGCCTCAGCCTCAGCCTGCTTCAGCCTCAGCCTCAGTCTGCCTTCAGCCTCGGCCTCAGCCTCAGCCTGCCTCAGCCTCAGCCTGCAGCCTCAGCCTCAGCCTCAGCCTCAGCCTGCCTCAGCATCAGCCTGCCTCAGCCTCAGCCTCAGCCTCAGCCTCAGCCTGCCTCAGCCTCAGCCTCAGCCTGCTTCAGCCTCAGCCTCAGTCTGCCTTCAGCCTCGGCCTCAGCCTCAGCCTGCCTCAGCCTCAGCCTGCTCAGCCTCAGCCTCAGCCTGCCTCAGCCTCAGCCTGCTCAGCCTCAGCCTCAGCCTGCCTCAGCCTCAGCCTCAGCCTGCTTCAGCCTCAGCCTCAGTCTGCCTTCAGCCTCAGCCTCAGCCTGCCTCAGCCTCAGCCTGCATCAGCCTCAGCCTCAGCCTCAGCCTCAGCCTGCCTCCTCAGCCTCAGCCTCAGCCTCAGCCTGCCTCAGCCTCAGCCTCAGCCTGCCTCAGCCTCAGCCTCAGCCTGCCTCAGCCTGCCTCAGCCTCAGCCTCAGCCTCAGCCTCAGCCTCAGCCTCAGCCTCAGCCTCAGCCTTCAGCCTCAGCCTCAGCCTGCCTCAGCCTCAGCCTGCATCAGCCTCAGCCTCAGCCTCAGCCTGCCTCAGCATCAGCCTGCCTCAGCCTCAGCCTCAGCCTGCCTCAGCCTCAGCCTCAGTTTCAGTCTGCCTTCAGCCTCGGCCTCAGCCTCAGCATGCCCCAGCCTCAGCATCAGCCTGCCTCAGCATTCAAAATGTGGCCCGGGAATGGAGTTCTGGGAGCTCGAAGAAGACGAAGTGGCCTACAGTTGGCTCCGGGCATTCAAAATGTGGCCCGGGAATGATGTTGTGGAAACTCGAAGACCACGAAGTGGCCTACAGTTGGCTCCGGGCACCCAAAATGTGGCCCGGGAATGGAGTTGTGGAAACTCGAAGACCACGAAGTGGCCTACAGTTGGCTCTGGGCATCCAAAATGTGGCCTGGGAATGGAGTTCTGGGAAGTCGAAGACCACGAAGTGGCCTACAGTTGGCTCCGGGCATCCAAAATGTGGCCCGGGAATGGAGTTCTGGGAAGTCGAAGACCACGAAGCGGCCTACAGTTGGCTCCGGGCACCCAAAATGTACGCCAGGAATGGAGTTCTAGCAGCGCCAAGAGCGATTTTGCGAGGATGTCCCAAACGATTTGGGCTTCGACGGCAGCCGCCCCGGGTCCCGCCCGGACCCCCCTGTGGAGTCATCAGCTGCTCTCTTTTGACACCATTAGAAACCTATCAGTCTTCGCTGCTAGGTAATTAACAGTTTCGTGGGACCCATGGGGTACGACAACATCAACACGAAAGAGAAGCTCATCGAACGAGTAAGTACGCACGAAAGGGCAGACGAAATAATGGAGGAGGGAGGACAGGTGCTCAGGAAACGAAGCCTTGTAAATAGTACGGGTTGTTGATAATTACCCTCTTCGCTCTGGCGGGGCCCCGCTGGAAGGGGGGAGGCCTACGAAACCTGGTATAGAGTAATGCTGTCCGCTACCCTCCTCGTTCAAGCGAGTCCTCCTCCTCCTCCTCCTCGTCGTCCTGCTCCTCCTCGTCCTCCTCATCCTCGGCATCATCATCATCACCACCATCATCGTCGTCATCATCAGCATCATCAGCAGCATCGTCGTCACCCCGTCGTCGCCATCATCAGCATCACCGTCATCATCATCAGTCTCAACATCATCATCATCACACTCGTCAGCATCACCGACATTATCATAACCATATTCATTATCTTCATCATCATCATCAGCATCATCATCATCGCCAGCGTCATCGTCATCATCATCATCGTCGTCGCCACCATCATCATCATCAGAAGCATCGTCATCATCATCACCATCACCGCCCTCGGCATCATCATCGTCCGCATCATCGTGGGCGTCATGATCATCAGCATCATCGTCGTCATCATCATCAACAGCACAATCGTCAGCATCACCGACATCATCATAACCATATTCATTATCCTCATCATCATCATCATCAGCATCATCATCATCGCCAGCGTCATCGTCATCATCATCATCGTCGTCGCCACCATCATCATCATCATCATCATCAGGAGCATCGTCATCATCATCACCATCACCGCCCTTGGCATCATCATCGTCCGCATCATCGTGGACGTCATGATCATCAGCATCATCGTCGTCATCATCATCAACAGCACCAGCAACGTCAACATCAGCAGCAGCATCGCCATCATCACCAGCATCTGCATCATCATCCTCGTCGTCGTCGCCATCGTTGTCATCATCGTCATCGTCATCATCATCATCGTCATCATCATCAGCATCATCATAATCACCGTTATCGTCATCGTCCATCGCCATTATCGCCATCGTCATCGTCATCGTGAACAGCAGTATAACCATCGTCATCACCATCATCATGATGAAGCCTTCCTCATCGCAGAACTACCCGTCCTCCTCACCCTCCTCAGCGGGAGGAGTAGGACGTGAGATGGATAGGTCATGTTCTCCCCTCCTCCTGACCCATGTCAGTGGGAGGGGCACGAAACAATTTAAATAATATGGGTTTCCGATACCCTCCTCGCTCAGACGGGGCCTCCCCGGAGGGGTGGGAGGGGCACGAAACCATGTAAATAGCATGGGTTTCCGATACCCTCCTCGCTCAGGCGGGGCTTCCTTGGAGAGGTGGGAAGGGCACGAAACCATGTAAGTAGTATGGGTTTCCGATACCCTCCTCGCTCAGGCGGATGGAAAGGGCACGAAACCATGTAAATAGTATGGGTTTCCGATACCCTCCTCGCTCAGGCGGGGCCTGCCTGGAGGGGGAGGAGCACGAAACCATGTAATCTTTATTAATTTCCGATACCCTCCTCGCTCAGACGGGGCCTCCCTGGAGAGGTGGTAGGGGCACGAAACCATGTAAATAGCATGGGCTTCCGATACCCTCCTCGCTCAGGCGGGGCCTCCCTGGAGGGGAGGGAGGATAGTATGGGTTTCCGATACCCTCCTCGCTCAAACGGGGCCTCCCCGGAGGGGTGGGAGGGGCACGAAACCATGTGAATAGTATAGGTTTCCGATACCCTCCTCGCTCAGTCAGGCGGGGCCTCCCTGCTGGAGGAGTGGGATACCCTCCTCGCTCAGGCGGGGCCTCCCTGGAGAGGTGGGAAGGGCACGAAACCATGTAAATAGCATGGGTTTCCGTTACCCTCCTCGCTCAGGCGGGGCCTGCCTGGAGGGGCGGGAAGGGCACTGCTGGGAGGTGGGAGGCGGGAGGGAGAAGGAGAGGATGTTCCGGGAAAACAAGAACCCGCACCAGCACCGGCCACCGGCACCAGCACCGCCACCGGCCACCAGCACCGGCACCGGCACCCACCGGCACCGGCACCGGCACCGGCACCGGCACCGGCACCGGCACAGCACCGGCACCGGCACCGGCACCGGCACCGGCACCGGCACCGGCACCGGCACCGGCACCGGCACCGGCACCGGCACCGGCACCGGCACCGGCACCGGCACCGGCACCGGCACCGGCACCGGCACCGGCACCGGCACCGGCACCGGCACCGGCACCGGCACCGGCACCGGCACCGGCACCGGCACCGGCACCGGCACCGGCACCGGCACCGGCCGGCACCGGCACCAGCACAGGCACCAGCACCGGCACCGGCACCGGCACCGGCACCAGCACCGGCACCGGCACCGGCACCGGCACCGGCACCGGCACCGGCACCACCCAGAGGGTCTCTACTTGCTAACCTAGACCGGAGGATTTACATGCTTATAATTTAGGCCGGAGGATCTACATGCTTATTTAGGAAGTACAATGCTTAGTGGAGCGTGAAAAGTGTACGTTGTATGAATCATGCCATTATCAGGAATAGCTATATATATATATGTAAATATTTACACGCATACACATACATAGATAGTTACATATGTGAATATATATATATATATATATATATATATATATATATATACATAGATATATACACATTTCACATAAATACATAACTAAACATTTACGCACATGTCATATATGTACGTTCATATATGTATACGATATATGTGTATACCTGCACATCGCATCGTAATATATCTGCGCATGGGGTCGATGTACCTGCAGTGATACACACAAATAATATATGACAACTTCATATCCGAAGGCACTATCTAATTATTTATGTATATATACACAGATGCAGACGATCACGGGTGTCACGAACAACTGCACGAACACACGCAAACAACTTGACCACGCACGCCCCCACGAACAACACAGACACAGCACGTACACACGCACGAACAAACAACACGATCACGGATGGCACGGCCAACAAGAACAGCAAGGCCACAACAGCATTACGGGCAGCACGGGCAACGCCACAGCACTACCAGCACGATCACGAGCACGAGCACGAACGTGAACTTGTCGATGTGGTTGGTCCTGCGCCGCAGCGGGTCGGCTCGAGGCCCTCGCCCCCCATGGGGGGGTCAGACCCTGGCCGCGGCGGCACAGGGCAGAGGTCGCGCTGCAGGACCGCGTTTTTGTTGATGCGTCTTGTGTGTGTGTGTTGGGGGGAGAGCGGGTGCCCCAGCACCCCCGCCCGCTTTTCAACCATATGGTTGAAAAACGGGCGGGGGCAATGAGGGCTCCAGAGAAGCGGCTCCAGCGATGGGAAGGCGTTGGCCAAGGCTCTGAAGCAGCACATCCGAAAAGCAGATTGGATTCGATACGGCACCCACCCTGGGAGAGACAATTTCACGCCCAACTGCGTCTCCGAGATTCTGAAGAATCCGAAGGAGATCGGTTTAGCCCGTCGATGCCCCTCCCACCCCCCCTCGCTCCTACAGTACATGATTCCCCCTAGTCCCCTTGCCCTTCCTACTTATCCTCTTGCTTCCCTCTCGTCCTCCATCTTCCGCAATTTCGCCTCCGATTGAAAACGATCTCAGCTCCTGCTCGCCATCGAGGGCGCAGCCCCGAACTGGGCCGTCACAGAGACGGCCGCGAACGACTGCTTCGAGATCATCGCGAAGAAGCGGCAGGAGGAGTTCGAGTTCGACGACGCTGCCGCCCAGAGCTGGGCGACACAGCAGCTCGAGGCCACGTGGGGAGGGGGGGGGAGCGACGCGAGAGGGATTTGGGGGGGCAAGCGGCGGGCGCGGGGGCATGCAGTGGCGCCCCGGTGGCCCCGCCCCCTTGGGTCGCCCCCGCCCCCACCGCTTGGCCCCCCTAACTTCCGCTCGACGCCCCCCCCGCGGGTCGGGCCGGAAGGAGGAGAGGAGGAGGTAGAGGGAGGTCGGAGGTAGGAGGAGGGAGGTGATGGAGGTGGGAGGCGATGGTCGAGGCAAGTAGGAGGAGGAGGAGGAGGAGGAGGAGGAGGAGGAGGAGGGTAAGGAGAAGGAGAAGGAGGAGGAGGAGGAGGAGGAGCAGGAGGAGGAGGAGGAGGAGGCAGAGGTACGAGTCGAGGGTGACAGAGGGAAGTAGGAAAAGGAATTGCCAGATGGGCAGGGGCAGAAGGATAATGAGAGGCAGAATAATGAGGAGCGGGGTGAAGATGACGAGTATGAGGATGAGAATGAGGATGGGGACGAGGAGGAGGAAGGAGGAGGAGAAGGAGGAGGAGGAATGAGGAAGAGGGAGCGCGAGGAGGACGAGGAGGAGTCGGACGAGGAGAAGGACCGAGGAGGAGGAAACCGAGGGGTGAGTTTTTTTTTTGCAGCCCCTCCCCGCCTCCGCAGGCTGCGGTCGCTGGCGCGACACATGTGCGACCCTGCGCGCAGGGGGTCCAAGGGCCTCTCCGTGCCGAAGTGGTTGAAGGACCTGCGCCAGGCGCAGGACGCCCTCGGAGAGGCCCCGTGCTCGGCAGCGCCCTCGGGCTCAGGTCGGAGCACCGCGCAGATCGGGTACGACCCGACCTCGACGCCGCCCGTGGCATGGAGGCTGCAGGGCTCGAGCACGGTGCCCGAGACGACGACCGACATCTTCCACGAGAACATCGACGAGGCCAAAGACCACGAGATGATGTCGGCTCGGTTCCACGACGGCACCGTGCACCAGCTGGCCACATACACGGTGGCCCAGCACAAGGCCGCGCAGTCAGGAGTTGACAAGATGAAGACGACGAAGTTCAAAGGATGGCGACAACAGACTGCAGGTGGCGCCGAGGTCAAGGTCGTCGAGAAGTCGCTGTACAAAGTCGGCGACTACATCACCAAGGGCATGATCATGACGGTGGACGGGTCCCAGAAGTGCCAGCTGGCGTACTGCCACTACGACAGGGAGTTCGCCAAGACGTGGCTCGAGAAGATGGCCGCCAAGTTCGTGAAGGGGAAGAAGACGATCGAGCAGATCATCGCGCACGCAGGCCGCGATGAAGCGGCCCGCAGGCGCTGCCATGAAGAGGCCTGCGGCAGCGGACGGCGACCCAGAGGGCAAGAAGGACGACGAGGAGGAAGAGGAGGACGAGGACGAGAACGACGAGGGCACGGACAACGACTCCTGCAAGTACTACGGGGCCGAGGAAGAGGGAGAGGAGGAGGAGAAGGAGGAGGACGAGATCCTCGGTGACAGCGAGGAGCAGCCCGCGACCCTCGGCAGGATGGTTGACAAGCAGGGGCTCACGGAGCGAGCTCTAGCGGCGATCGACGAGCTGGCCGCCACTGACGACGAGGGCGCCGAATCCGAGATCAGCGGCACAGCGCAGCATGACGATGGCGAGGAGGTGGCGCCGCTCAAGAGGAAGCCAGCCGCAGCCGCGCCTGCCGAGGAGAAGATCGAGGAGGAAGAGCAGGCAGGCGAAGAGGAGGATGAGGAGGAGGAAGACGAGGAAGAGGCAGAGGAGGAAAAGAAGGACGACGAAGAGCAGGAAGAGGAGGAAGAGGAGGAAGAGGAGGAAGAGGAGGACGAGGAGGATGAGGAAGCAGAGCCAGAGGACGAGCCGCCGAAGAAGAAGATGAGGCTGAGGATGAGGCCGTCGGCGATGCCAGGCCCCCGCACGTCGCTCGTCGGCCGTGCCGTGGCCCTGCTCGAGCGCGCGAGCGGCTCCAGGTGAGCAGACCCGTGCGAGAGAGCCGAGCCACATATCGTCTGATCGTCACTTCGTGATCCTCGTCCCTCCCCCCCGTGACCCGCCCGCGACCCGCCCGCGACCCGCCTGCAACCCGCCCGCGACCCGTCCCGCGACCCACCCGAGGGCGACCCTCCCGCATTGCTTTAACCAAACAATTGGCTCCTGCGGCAAGCCCGTTATAATTTGCAGCGCCTGCGGCCGTCTTCAGAGCCCCGCAGACTGCAGACACCCCCGCCGCCCCCTCACTCCCGCGGGGTGCTCTCGACGCTCGATGCCGATAATGACGGCTGCCCACCGGGCGCAGCAGGGGGGAGAACCTCGGGGACGCGGGGTGGGCGTCGCGGGAGGGTCGCGGGCGGGTCGCAGGTCGCGGGAGGGGCGACGACAACAGCAACAACAACACTAATAATAAGACTAACGCCTCAAAAACAACAGCAACAACAACAACAGCAACAACAACAGCAACAACAACAACAGCAACAACAACACCTTCATCAACAGCAACAACAACAACACCAACAACAACAACAACAACAGCAACAACAACAACAGCAACGGCAACAACAACAACAACAACACCACCACCACCACCACCACCAACAACAACAACAACAGCAGCAGCAACCACAACAACAACAACAACGACCACAACAACAACAACAACTACAACAACAACAACAAGCATGATCAGCGCTGCGGAGTCCCACATCAGCCACGCACCCAGTGACAGTGAACTCTGATCGACCTACTGGGCACCTCGATCGATCGTTTTGATCCGCGATCGGCGCGGCCTGCTATCGCAGATCGCAAGTCGCGCCGACCTGCCACTTCCGATTGCAATATTGGCGCGACCCGCGATCTGCGATCAGGCCGCGCCGATCGCGGATCGAACCGATCGATCGACGTCTTGTGCCATGTCGCTTCGAGCCCCTCAGCTGTTCGGCTTTCAGGGGCTTTCGACGACAGGCCCAGCTCCCCGACAGTGCGATGGCCCTCCCCGCCCCTGCCCGCCGCGGCGGCTCCTCGAACGGGCCCGCCGACGTCGACTCTGCTGGTCCTGGGTCGAGCTTGGTGGCGGCTCCAGACGGGGCTCCAGATCGCAAAAGGGGACGGGTGAGGGGGTCGAGGCACGGGAAGGGGAGGGCGGGATCGGGCGCGGCCGAGGAGGTGGCGGAGGGGGGTGAGGAATTATAGGGAAGCAGAGTGGCAGGACGATGGGACGCAGGATAGGGATGATGATGAGGGAGAGGTTCAGGAGCAGGAGGAGGAGAGCCCCCATAACCCAGTCGACCAGGGGGGGGGTCGCTTGCCCGCCCGACGCGCCACCCCCCGAAGGGCACGTTGGCTTCATCGACCTCGAGCAGCTGCACCTCACGCCCGACGAGTGGAACGCCATGACTGAGGATCAGAAGCTGCGGGCGTGCGGACAGCTCAAGGCGCAGAGCACCTTGGCGGAGGACACCCAGGCGTTGCTCGACCAGCACAAGGAGGTCATCGCCGACCAGCACCGGGCGTGGGCCGCGCACGAGCTACGTCGGCGGCAAGTTGATGGGCCAATTCCAGTCGAGGACAGCCCTGATGCAGCCGATCGGCTCGCCCAGAGTGCTGCGCCGCCTCCTGGCTCCATGTCCGCGATCGCGGCGGTCGTCAGGCCCTCTGCGATCTACGACGGGGGCGGCTACTCGATGGCGCACGAGCTCGAGGTCGACAGGCTGCGCTTGGAGGATGCGGGCGGTGCGCCAGGCCAGACGGCGGCGCGATCCTGCGCGTCCGAGCCGCCTGCAGAGCAGCAGAGCCAGGTCTTGGCTGGCGAGCCCGAGGCGGCGGTCGAGCCTGAGGCGGCTGGCGAGCCAGAGGAGAAAGCAGAGACGAGGTCGAGGAAGGCGAAGCGCCAGAGGAAGACCAGGAGGCGTCGCCGCAGCGCGGGACGCAGCAGCACGTGTCCGCCCACGCCTTTGTGCGCCAGCAGGCTGCATAGCTCGTTGCATTTACATCCTCGGCCCCCCTCCCCCGCATGCCCCCTCCCTCTCGGGGCCCAAGGGGGCCCCGAGAGGGCGCCGAGAGGGAGAGGGCTCGAAGATGGCCCCGAGGGGGCACATGGTTAAGGTCCTATAGAAACGATCGCGCTTGCAAGCTGCCTCGGCCCTCTCTCGATCAGGCCTCTCTAGGGGACCTCTTAGAGCCCTCCCGGCGCCCTCTTGGAGCCCCTGGGTTTTTCTATGACCTCGGGGGGGCCCAAGCGGGCCCTTAGGGGGCCTTCGCAGGCAGCTGGGGATGATTGACTCCCGCCCCCATCCTCCTCGTCCTTAAACCTCCCCCCTTCCGCGCCCTTACCTCCCTCCCCCTCGCCCCCCCCCCATCCCGCGCCAGCCTTCGCCATTCTCATTGCCCCCGTCCGAGCTTCTCGACTTTCGCTTGCGCCCGCGCAGGTCAGAGAAGCTCGAGTGCGCGCCGCCCAAGACTGCTCGCGCCGCTGCTGAGCAACACCTGAAGCGGCTGGTGCAGATGCGGGGGGATGGCAGCGGCCATCATCCATGCCACCCTCCCGTCGCTGGCCTCTCCAAGGGCGGCGAACCCAGCCTGGAGTCGGTCGCGGGCAAGCGCGGCGCCAGGGGCGAGGTCGAGGCCATCAAGGCGGTGGAGGAGAACAACTGCAAGTTCACGAAGAGGTCGGCTCTCGGCCTGAGGTGGGACAGGAAGATGAAGGACGCCAAGTTCAAGGCCCAGTTCGAGGCGGCCCCCGACGCAGCCAAGTTCAAGGCCGACTGGGTGAAGGAGATCTACGACGGGGCCGTCAGGAAGCACAGGACCCACACCAAGGAGGTCTCGGAGACGTGGATGAATCAAGGGAAGCTCCTCACCTTCCTGAGGATGTGCTGGGAGGAGGGGGGCCCTACTGGGCACAAGGACCGCCAGATCGTGAAGGACATCATGACGACCTGCGGCAAATGCATCGACCTTGGTTGGCCGTTTTGCCAGGTCGATCCGTGGTCGGGGGCCCAGAAGTACTTGTACTTCGAGCTGCAGTATAGGGAGGAGTTCATGGAGAAGTGGAGCGAGACTACATGCCAGGAGCACGAGAATAATGCCGTCGCGGACAGTCAGCCCACCGAGAAGCCCAAGCCGACCCCCAAGAAGAAGGCGCCCGACGAGAGCGCGGCGGCCCTGAGGGACAGCAAGAAGTTGGTCGTCATGGCGCAGTCGGCGCTGGCAGCTGCGCGATCCCTCAGGCGGGCGATCGAGACCTCTGGCGGCTGGGAGTGGGCCATGACCGACGCAGTCCAGGGGAAGCTGAAGACCATGAGCGGCAAGCTCGAGAAGGAGATCAAGGCGGTGGAGATGGGCCAGATGTTCATGAACGGGTTCGACGCGAAGCAGGCGACTCTGTAACATTACAAAAAAAACACCTTCTCCTCCTCCTCCTCCTCCTCCTCCTCCGACTCCTGATATTTCTCGCGCAGGTGCTGCTGCCCATCCTCGTTCGCTATCTGGACCGCTCGCGGTTGCTTGTGCTCCTGCTCCTGCTCGTTGCCCGACCCACCTCTTCCTCCGAGCTCTAGCCCAACAGGGCGCGCCCGCCCCCCCCCGCGCTCCCAGGTGAAGGCCAAGCTGGACTCGAAGACCATCGCGTCCCAGGCGAGGATGCTCAAGGACCTGGAGGAGACGCCCCGCGGCGGATTGTGATGATGATGGGGCTGCCGATGGCGACGATGATGTGGATGGTGATGGTGGTGGCGGTGGCGATGATGAGGATGATGACGGTGACGATGATGATGATGATGATGATGGTGATGATGATGATGGTGATGATGATGATGATGCTGTTGATGATGACGAGGTGTGTGACGGTGATGACGATGAGGATGAGGATGATGGAGGTGGTGATGATGATGAGGACGATGACGATGACGACGATGGTGATGCCGATTATGGTGATAATGGTGATGGTGCGGATGATGCTGATGATAATGATGATGCTGATCATCGATGGTGGTAATGATGGTGATGATGATGCTGGTGACGGTGATGATGATGATGATGATGCTGATGATGATGATGATGGTGATGATGACGATGATGGCGGTGATGATGATGGTGAGGATGATGATGCATATGATGCTGATGCTGAGGATGATGAGGATGGCGATGATGCTGAGGAGGAGGACGATGAGAAGGAGGCGGAGCAGTGAGGAGGAGGAGGAGGGTTGAAATAAGAGGAGGAGGAGAAGGAGGAGGAGGAGGAGGAGGGAAAGGAGCTGGACCCCAAGCCGTGGATGGAGAGAAGCGCTGTCCGCGACGAAGTGGCATGATGTTTTGCGTCAGCCACTTTGTCGCGGAATTGCAGACCAACGGAGGGGGATCTGTTTGTTCCCAGCCATCCTGTGGTGGTGGGCTTTCGTTTTGAGGAGTCAGCGCCCCGCGTTCCTTCCTTCCTCCTCCTCTCCTCTCCCTCCCCCCCCTCGCCCTCCCCCCATGCCATCCCTTGTCCCTGTCCGCGCGCCCGCCATTTCGGCGCACCCCTCGCGAGGATCATGACCCCGTAGGGAGCTCCACCAGAGGCCCCAGTGGCACGGGCCGCGCGCGCCCGACGCCCATTTTGGCGCGCGCCCTCACGCGGCCATATGGCCCCATAGGGAGGATCGTTCGAATGCCCAGCCCGCGCGCGCCCGACGCCCCTATTTTGGCGCGCACCTCGCGCGGTACGTGGCCCCGAATGGGGCAGCTCGAAGGCCACAGTGGCTCAGGCAGCACGCGCCCGATGCTCATTTTGGCACACCCCTCACACGGTTCACGCGGCCCCGTAGGGAGCTCCATCAAAGGCCTGTGGCTCGGGCCGCGCGCGCCCGACGCCCCCCGCGTCGGCGCGCCCCGCGCGCGGGTCGTGGCCGAATAGGGAGCTCTACCGAAGGCCCGTGGCGCAGGGCGCCCGACGCCAATTTTGGCACGCCTTCGCGCGGTTCGCGGCCCCATGCGAGCTCCACCGACGGCCCCAGCGGCGCGGGCCGCATGCGCCCAACGCCCATGTTGGCACACCCCTCGCATATGTTTCGCGGCCCCACACGAGGGCCCCACCGATGGCAACAGTGGCGCAGGCCGCGCGCGCCCGACGCCCATTGGCAAACCATTCACACGGTTCGCGGCTCCATCTGCAGCTCCACCGAAGGCCCAGTGGCGCAGGTCGCGCGCGCCGCCCGATGCCCATGCGGTTCGTGGCCGAATAGGGAGCTCCACCGAAAGCGGCACCCACAACGTAGTGTTTGGGGTCCGTCGGGATGCCCGCGAGAGCGCTGCGCGTGCCACCAGGACCGCGTGAACTCCCTGAACGAGAAGGTGCAGGGCACGCTGAGCGCGCACGAGAACGTGCACGCCATGGCCAAGGGCGCCACCAGTGGCAAGAAGAGGAAGGCCCCTGCTGCAGCCCTCGAGCCTGCCCGCCCCATGAAGCGCCCCTCGAAGTGAACAGCGATCGATCGAGGTAGAGCCAGCAGCACACATTTTAATCAAACAGGGGTTTCGAGGGGGCCATGGACAGCAAAACATGAAAATCTGGCCGTGGGGTGACAGCTGCTCAGCAATTCTGGTCTCTGCGTGCTGCGCTATGGGGAGTGCGGCATCTGCAGAGAATTGCATCAGTATAGCTGCTCTGGCCTTGTCTTCGACGAACCGTCGGAGGGGCTGGCTCTCGAGCGACGCACCGGCCCGGCATATTTCGAACGAAAACGGGAAAATTATTGAATATTGTATCGATGATCTATCGATGACCCTTCGATGAGCGACCCCGACGATATGCGATAAATTTCCGGGACCGGTGATATGTGATCGATGAGCCCATCGATGAGCATCGATGAGCCTCGTTTGCGAGCGAGGGCAGGAAGCCTCGCGCACGCATTGCACGCAGATCTGTAGGGCAGCCCACCTCTCATCTCCGCCCCCCCCCCCCCGCATGGCCTCTGCGAGCAGCTCTCTGCCGCCCTCGCCTCCAGCTGCCCGAGCTCGACCAGCAGCGCGCGCTTGCGCGCGCGCCGTTTTGCCAGGAAAAGCGAGAGTGCGAGGCGGAGGGGGGTCTGCGTCGAGCAGCTGTGGTTTCTGGCCCTCTCCACTTCAGTCGCTGGGCACTCCGCGCCCGTAGCTGGGCACCAGACTTGCGCCTGCAGGGCAGTCCTCGGGCCCTCTCGGAGTTCCATGGAGCCTTGGGGGCCCTCTTGCCTTCGGATTTTCCCCCGGCCATCCTGTTGTGTTGGGGCCTCGTTTTGAAAGACAGCGCCCCGCGCTCCTTCCCTCCTCCTCCCCCTCCTCTTCCTCTTCCTCCTTCTCCTCATCATCCTCCGACTCCTCCTCCTATTCCTCCTCCTCCTCCTCCTCCTCCTCCTCCTCCTCCTCCTCCTCCTCCTCCTCCCCCTTACTCTTCCGACCCCTTGCCTCTGCTCCCCGCGCGCCCACCATTTCGGCGGGCCTCTCGCGAGGTTCGTGGCCCCCTGGGGAGATCCACCGAAGGCCCCAGTGGTGCAGGTCGCGCGCGGCAGGCGCCCGACGCCCATATGCGGTTCGTGGCCCTACGGGAGCTCCACCGATGATGATGATGCCGATGATGATGACGACGACGATGGTGATGATAATGATGATGGCGATGCTGCTGATGATGATGAGGGCGATCGATGCTGTTGGTGATGGTCGTGGCGATGATGATTATGATGATGATGGCGAAGATGATGATGATGATGATGAGTTTGATGATGACCACGATGATTGCGAGGAGGAGGATGAGACAACGGGAGGATGATGATGCTGCTGCTGATGATGGTGCACCATGATGATGAGGATGGTGGCGATGTTGATGATGACGGTGAAGATGCTGATCATGCTGGTGGTGATGATCACGATGATGGAGGTGGTGGCGATACTGAAGATGATGCCGATGAGGAGGGGGGCGGGGCGGGGTGGGGCGGGGCGGGGGAGGGGGGGGGATTGACGTGGGAAGAGGGGGAAGAGGAGGAGGAGGAGGGGGGGGGGAGGAGGATCAGGAGGAGAAGAGGATAAGACGGAGCTGGGCCCCAAGCCATCGACGGAGAGAGGCGCTGTCCGCGACAAAGTGGCTGATGCGTTGTTCGTCGGCCACTTTGTCGCGGCCATGCCGACCAACGGAGGGGGGGCGGGATCTGTTGGTTCCCACCCATCCTGTGGCGTTGGGCATTGACTTCGCTTTGAAGAGTCAGCCCCCCCCCGTCCCGCCCCGCCTTGACTCGGCCCGACAACGCGAAAAAATCGCTCTTGCCCACTAGGTTTTTTGCGGGGCCAGAAATCTGGTAGTGGGCAAGAACTGTTCGGCATGTGTTCGAGCGCATTCAAAAGAAGATATCCTGCTGATATCTCAGAAGAAGGTTGCGTTTCCTACGATCGCGGGGTCGCCCAGCGCCCCAGGGGCGCTTTCAATTGTTCTGACGGGGCCCGCGGGGCGTCGCGTGGAGCCCCGCCGAAAGTGGAACCTGCGACGATTGCGCGCGGTTGGGTCCTTCGCCGGGATAATTTCCTTAGGTCGGTGACTCGGTCCGCTGCGGGGCCACTGAAACTGCAGGTACTTACGTGGGCCCGTGGGGCCCATATTGGAGCCCTTTCGGGGCCCATGGAGCTCGCTTGGGGCTCTCTCGAGATGTGCGCGGCGCTTTGCGAGCTGTCTGGCGGGCCAGAGTCCGATGTCAGCATGCCCCATAACACATTTGGACACGATCGGGACCTCGGTCGGCAACAGGGGCGGAGAGAAGGCTGAGGGGGCACGCTACACATTACACGCATGTATGTATATATATATATACTTTCATACATGCACACAACACGCAGGCGCACACAATCACCACGCGTGCACCGACAGCATTTGCAACATATCTCTGCGGCCGCGCATGGTCGAGGCCCGCTATCAGCACGGGGCCAAAGAGGAGGCGCATTTACAATTTTCCTTCGGATGAGACAGCCTCCCGAGAGGCCGCGAGATTTGCTGGGCAAGCTTTGCGCGACGAGCTGCTTGCCCCCTTATGCCTTGGGCAAGCTCCCAGCATCGCAGTTATGCCCTATAGCTTACCATACAGCCCGGGCTGGCGCAATTTCCCCCATAAGTGCTTTCGCAGTCCCCCCTGGCCAGTCTTCGGGTAATTACCAGAAGAGGGTGGATAGGGCGTTGGCAGACATGAACATCACAGAAATAGAACCTATGGAATTATCAGTGCCAGGGCAGAGGACCACTCGCAAAATGCGTTTCGATTTGAAGCTCCAGTTCAGGCCAGTCTACGATTTATTGGAACGTGAGCTCACGCGAACACCAGAGGCCAGGCGCGCGATGGAGGCCCAGCTGCACGCGCAACAGTGGCCTAAGTCGCACACCAGGCACAAAGTCAAACTCGAGGCTGCGCCAGCCGAGCTGGTGATCCCCGTGGGCATCTTTATAGATGGTGCCCACTACGGCGGGCATTCGTCGGCTGGCAGGCAGCGTTCTATTCTCGCGGTGTCCATGTCTAACCTCATAACTGGTCGGCGTCATCCTGGCATTATTATGCGGAAGCAGTTGCAGTGCAAGTGCGGTTGTCACGGCTACTGCACGTGGCAACGATTGTTCGAATGTGCGCGGTTTTGTTTAGATGCTCTCGCACGCGGTCGGCATCCTGATTGCGACGTGGACGGCCGCCCCTTCAGCAACCCCGATAGGTTGAGGCTCGCTGGCCAACCCTTGGGCTTCCGCGCAGCCGTCACTCAGATCATGACCGACTGGGAGGCGGCGCGCCTTTACCTCCATGTGCCCAACTGGAACCACCTCACGGCCCCATGCCCGTTGTGCGACGCCACTTCGGGCAACGTGCACGAGTGCAGGACGGCGCTTCTCATGTTTCACGTCGCGCGGCAGCAGCAGCGAACGCGTGCGTAGAAGCGTGCACGTAAATATTTATACATACATGCATGGATGGACAGACATAGAGGGGGGGACTGAGAAGCAAACGGCGCCAACAGCAACGGCCGCAGTTGTACCAACGCCACCTATAATAACAACAATGTCAATACCATCAGCACCAAGAACCACAACAACACCAAACACAGAGGGGGAAATAGGACTCGACGCATTAACCGCGGAGGGTAGAAAGAAAGGGGCGGGAGGAGAGAGAGAGAGAGAGAGAGAGAGAGAGAGAGAGAGAGAGAGAGAGAGAGAGGAGTTCCCCGTAGGCACAATAAAACATGAGGCTTTGCGGGAACTATAGATAGAGAGAGGGGGAGAGAAAGGAGAGGGAGAGAGAGGGGCGAGAGATACAGGGAGAGGAAAGAAGAGAGAGAGCAGAGAGAGAGGAGAGAGAGAGTAGAGAGAGAGAGAGAGAGAGAGAGAGAGAGAGAGAAAGCGAGAGAGAGAGAGAGAGAGAGAGAGAGAGAGAGAGAAAAACAGGGAGATGAAGCGAGAACGAGAGATAAAGAGAGGGAGAAAGTAACCAACGGACAGAACTAGCAGTTCTCACACGCCATGCGAAGATAGCAGTCGGAGAAGTGCCGCGATGTGAAAGCGTTGAGTGGCAGAGCGGACTGCGGGGGGTAGACCCTCGAGCAAGCGCCTGTGCCATCCTTCAGGCCCCGTCCTTCCCCTCCCCTCGCCACCCCCCTCCCGCCTGGCCCCCGCCCTCGCCTCCCCCGCCAGGCCCCTCCCTCTCCCCCGCGCACGTGTAAAGCAGGTCGACTCCCAGCCGCCTGCATGCTTTGAACGAGCCGTGGACTGACCGCGGATCGGACGCCCACGAGCTCGCGCGCCAGGCTTGCGAGCACACAGTTTCGTTGCCATCTCACAGGGGCCTTCGTCGACTCGCGGCGGAAGGCGCTTTCGAGTGGAATGGGGGAACCAACGGGAGGGGACTTCGGATAACCAGGGGCGTCCGAGCGCTGAACGACAACAGTGCCGACCTGAAATCGGGGGACCTCCTCCCGCCCCAGCGTGGCCTTGAGGACAACGCCCAATTCGCCCAGTTGAAATGCCATTGCACCCTTACGTTTTGGATGCCATCGTCCCAAACTTTGACAAAGCACAGAAACCCCATGCTGAGTGCAGACCTCGGGATCTCGATAGTTGACACATACGCCATTGACTACATGCATACTGTAGCCCTAGGGGTCATGGGGTTCGTGGTGTCGGCGCTGATGTGGAGATTGCACGGGTCGGAGGCGTACTCTGGAGGGTTTGAGGAGAAGGGCCAGCGGGATGCTGCGGCAGCAGATCGCATCAGGAACGACCTCGCCCAATGGCATTCGTGTCAGAGGGCCCCGGGGAGACCGCAGGAAGAAATCAACGCTTTTACGATGGAAATGTTTGTCTCCGAATAGACCCCCAGTCTCAAGACCCGAGCTGGCGCGGCGGCCAAGTGCACTGCGCGTGACCACTGGGGCCAGATTAAGTTTGCCATCGACGCAGTGCACGAGATCGCCCGCCAAGGCGAGCGGATGTGCATTTTGAACGTGGAGTCTGACCGCCTGCCTCATATATATATATATATATATACAGATGTATACATATATGTATGTGTAAGCCTGTCCACATACATATGTGTATGTGCGAACGCTTGTATCCAGCTGTGGATGGAGACATATTCACACCTATATACACAGTAACATTTATATTTACGTATGTATGTACACATATTTACGCACATGTGTATACATATATATATATATATATGTATATATGTGTGAACGCATGCATGTATATAGATGTAGATGTGCATGTATGTGTGTAATTATATGTACCTGCGTGTGTATATGTATACGTATGTATGCATGCACGCATGCAGGCATGCATGTAAGCATGTTTGTACGGATGCATTTCTATATTTAACGATATGTACCAATGTATACGGGTGGGCGGGGGGCCCTGGGGTCGGCGGAGGAGGGGGGGCTCAGACAGAGAGAGGCGTGGGGGGGTCGATGGGGGGCGGCCGAAGGGCGGGGGGGGATTTTGCACGGTTACGTGGGGCCACTGCCCAGGTGATTTTCGCAGGGGCCTCAACTTCGCGCATGTCTTCTCAGGCGCCGACAGCCCAGGCGCTGCGGCACGCTCTCGAGGCATCCCGTCTGAGAGCTGTGACATTCGGCGGCATCCCTCGGAAGATCTGTCAACCGTGGCAGGAATGATGCACTGCGGCGCTCTCGTGTTTCGCATTCGCCCTCTGGTTTTTTGCCATTTTGGCCCGTGCCGCGCCTCGTTTTCCTGGGTGTCCACAGGGGTATCCCAAAGGCATCTCGACATCGAACGCGGCTTCGCCATGGCAAACCCGACCCGGTGGGAGGGGCGGGGCAGGGGGTGGGTGGGAAGTTGCGCGGGGACAGGGCGGGGGAGGGCGAGGAGGTTGGGCGGGGGAGGGCGACCGAGTCGTGGGATTATATATATATATATATGATTCATCACTCACGGCCTGGTGCTCAGATCTGCTGGGGGCATTTGGCTCGTTGGTGACACGTCTCAACCTTTCGTTTCACTCGGCAACTTGATGGCGCTCTACATATGTTGGGTTGCGTCCGCCCTTCTGGCCAGGGATGTGTTCTGGAGTTTGGAGCAGCCCATTCAATCTTGTATGAAGCGGTGCCCAGCCTTCCAAACGATGTGCAGCTTGCGCCGCCCCGCGGCGTTTTGCACGTGGATGGGGTCGTTTGAAGGCGGCGGCGATCTGATGAAATGTTGTCATATCTTCACCACGGCCCCACTTAAAGTTGCCTGCTCTTTTTTGAAGAGGGGGGGCCGATGCGCAAACCCGACCCAAAGAAACGAATTTGGTCGAAACCTATTGCGTGGGTGAATGGCCACCATGCCAAACTCCGTTCGTCGGGGGCTTACCCGAAAGAGCTCGGAGAGCGCATGGTCGACCTCGCGCGTCAGTTGCTGGGCGCCCACTGATTGGATGCGCCTCGAACGCGGTGGGGGGAGGGGCAGCGGGGGGGGGGGGGGGGCAGGAGGAGGGCGGGGGTGGTGGCGAGAAAACGCGGCAGGGGGCGGCGGCGGCGGCGCCAGAGGGACTGCGCTGAACGGAATGCCCCGCCGACTTGCTTATCGACAGGGATAGGGGGGTAGGAGGAGTAAGAGAACCAAAGGGATGCGAATTGACGGCTTCAGGGCTGCGCGAAAACCACGATGGCGAGGAAGATGATGGAGATGACAACGCCCGCGATGACGAGGAGACAAGTGGGAAGGAGACGGCATGGGGCGCTGGGATAGGCCATGGGGAACGCGAGGATGACGAGGGATACGGAGCGGGAGGTGAACGGCGGAGGTGGCCAATCGGGGGTGCGAGGGGCGGCGGGGGGGGAGGTGGGGGAGGGGCAAGGGCAGCGGGGGCGACAGGGGGAGGAGGAGGAGGAGGAGGAGGAAGCGGAGAGAAGCGAGACCCGCCGCCGTCGCTGTATCACACTTTATTGTAACTTTTTTTTATCTTTTTTTTTGGGGCGCCTTTGCAGGGATTTTTTTTTTATGATTTTTACCCTTCTTTGAGTTTTACTAGTATTTTGATTTTTTTTTTATTTTTTTTTTTAGATGAATAATTCCGTTTGTTTTTCATTTTTTATTTTTTTTGAATCATTAATTTTTTTAGTTTTTTTTTTTTTTTTGTCGTATTTTGTTTTTGAATTTTTTTTATGTTAATTTTTGTTCTTTTTCGTTTGTTCTTTTTTCTTTTTTCTCTTGTTTGTTGCTTTATTTTTTATTTATTTTTTGTTTTTATTTTTTTTTTTTTTTTTTTTCTTTATTTATTTTTGCTTTGTTCTTTTTTTTCTATTTTTTTTTGTCTTTTTTTGTTTTTTTTTTTTTTTTTTCTTTTTAATTTTTATTCTCCCCGCGGGACCGCCCGGCTCGAAGTCTTCGATGCCGTCGCGGGTCCGCTTGGCCATGTTGTGGTCGGCGGACGCAGGGCCGACCAACCAGCAGAGAAACAAACAACTTAAACAACGACAGCACGCGCGACGGACCCAGCGACGAGCGTCGACATCCGACGAACCGAGCGAGCGCACGGCGCAGTCAACACTCGACCAATCAAACAAACGACCGAACCATGCAACACTCAGTTCACCCTACCGATCAACCCGACAATGACCCGTCAATGCAACCGACGGCAACCGACAGAACACATGCAAACGGACACGCGTGCAAGCAACCACCCAACCCACCACCAGCAACCACGCCATCGCAACAAGTACGCAATCCAACAACGATACCCAGCAGCACAAACACATAACCCTGTAAGCTACATCGCGCAAGTGTGCTGCAACATGTGTATATATATACATATATATACATATATATATATACGCACACACGTAATCTTATGTTTGCACATGCACGCATTGTTAATAATAGTAATACGAATACTAACAATAATATTAATAATAATAATAACACGCATGATCATAATGATAACAACACTCAAAATACTATTATACTATGTGTATATGATGTCCACACGACCACCCATACACACGCATATTTATATATATGCAACATATACATGCATACATGTATGTATACCACCCCGCAGTTGCGGATAAGAGGTTGGCAGCTTGCCAGGGTCTGAAGGATCCCGCCGCACGCGCTTAATACTCTCCGCCGCAAGCGCCGATTTTGGTTTGCAGGCAATGTAGGTGGGTTGCGGGTGGGTCGCGGGTGGGTCGCGGGCCAGGTGGCGGTTGCGTCACGGTGAGTGGGTCGCGGGCGGGGTCGCGAGGTTGGTCGCCGGCAGGTTGCGGGTGGGTCGCGGGTAGGTTGCGGGCGGGTCGCGGGTGGGTCTCGGGGTCGCAGACGGGTCGCGGGCGGGGTCGCAGGGTGGACGACGACAGCAACAATAATGAGCGTTCGGCCC